AGGCTGGATATCAGGGCGAAATTCTTTGTGAAAAGTGTAGCCAATAGTTAGAAAAAGCTACCAGCAGCATTAATAGGATGCAGCACCGTAGAGGCCTTTGAAAGAGGTCTATATAGATGTTGGTTTAAACTGTTTTCCAGAATTATTATAATTTTAATGCATTATGTCGCTGTAACCTCATATTGTATGACAGTACAGAGAATGCCTTCGATTTCGTCTCAATCACTTGCACAAGCTGCGGAAGTTAATCGGAAGTCGAAGTACCGGGGGGGGGCTCTTGTTCGCTTACTGACGCAAGAAACAGAACGCACGTTAAGCGGAAGACTGTATCGTCCTTGGAACTTGACCTGGACTATACTAAGAAACTAATAATGGTTTTACGCTTAATTATATCCTTATGTCTATGGTACCCGATTACTTACTGTCATCCTATAATTTGTGCGGTTTAATGTGCTGCATGAACTGAGGTTATATATCTGTTGCGGGCACGTAAAATATTCCCTCAAAGACGCGCCAGAAACCCAGACAGAATGGTTCTGGAAACCGAGGTTCAATTCCTCCCCACATCGTAGCAGTGATCAGCCACACCGAGGCGTGACCCAAAATGCGCACCTTCTGACAATGTTCATCTGAAAACTACCACCTCTTCGTGGTGACTGTTTTCCCTAACTTAATAACCCATAGCACTGGCTGTACTCGCCCTCTGTTGGTCGTAAAAGAGCCCACGGCGGACCGCTTGCCTTTTCTTTCTCTTCGCCTCAGTTGGGAGTCGGTCGGGTCACGTGATTGCGTGTGAGTCGTTAGCTGGCCAGCCTTCGCGTCTAAGTCATTAGCGCGCGTCTATCTTTAACCCCCTCTCGTGTGTGTCCGTTCCGAGGGCTTAGCGTCTATCCGAACACGTGCGGCTAGGATCGTTCACACGCTCGCTCAATTTTCCGTCTCACCGGCTAAGATAGCGTCATCAGGCTAGCGCAACTCCGTTCGAGTGGTCAGCGTTACAAGTCGTCATCGTAGGCGTGCTCCAGCCGTGCGAGCGACAATCTTATCAGGCAATTACGCAATTAGAACAGAGGCGGCGTTCTTCCCACAATTATAACAATATCCGACGCCGCTTGAATCGTATTTGTGGCGAAACGATTTCTGTCGAATCGCATGGCCTATTCGTGAGTCTAACCTATGCGTTCATCTATGTATACGAGTGTGGAACTGCGGTTCAAACAATTCATTTCGTTTTATCTACTACCGGAAATACCACTATCAAACACGATCGTTTAGTTAAATGACCCATCATACTCCGGAAGCTTATCCACAGTATTTTAGTCGAGCTCACACGCAGACTCCTTCGAACTGCAAACGTGGAGCTAAGCAAGAGGGATGTAGTAAACCCACACCACCCTGGAGAATAATATATGCAGTGCAGTTTTAAAGGTTTAAGACAACATGATCCTTCTTCGGAGGTTAGGAAGTGGTCGATGGCCCTCTTCACGTAAAACTTAGTCATGGGAGACAACAGGTCTACGGGTTATAAGCTCACAGCTCGATTAGCGTAGAGCACGAGCGCCACGCATTGTCTGACGGTGGGAGGGCACCGCCGGGTGTTCAATGGTTTGCTACTGCCCGCCTCAAGCCAGACAGCCCCTGGCCAAATTGGTACAAACCCGCCAAAACCCATTTGCGTCTGGCTGTGGTCGCAGCTGCGTATCCTACTAGGTCGCAAAATATATGAATCGTTCCAGTATATCCAAGACTGCGTGTGACGGCCTTCAAGCAGATCCCAATCGGTCACTGCAATCATATTCCCGAGCTGGATCTGCTCCCCACTGCCTTGTGGGTAGGCTATTGAGCCAAAGGCTCCGGGTGGAGTCCCTCAAGCAAACCTCCGAAGCACAACGACCATGTCGCGTGGATTGCTCACCAATGCCTGTCTGCGCGAAAAGCACTCAGCATCGGGTGCTAGAACGTGCGCACACTACTGGACCGGAACTGCAGTGAGCGCCCCGAGCGACGCACTGCACTGGTCGCGATGGAGCTGGCGCGCTACAACATTGATATTGCGGCGCTCAGTGAAACTCGGCTCGCTGAGCAAGGTAAGTTGCATGAAGCAGGTGCTGGCCACACATTCTACTGCGTGGGCAACGCCGCCTCAGCACCACGTGAACATGGGGTCCGATCGCCTGAATGGCCAGCTGGTGGGTGAACCAACGGGCATCAGCGCGCGACTGATGACTGTTCGCCAACGACTCGGAAGAGGCAAGTTTGCTACTTTTATAAGCACGTACGGTCCGACCATGTGTTATCCTGATGACACGCGTGATCAGTTCTACACTCAGTTATCCTCCGTGATACGGTCTGTGCCGAGGAGCGACCGACTATTTCTGTTGGGTGATTTCAACGCGCGCGTTGGGCGTGATGCATCGGTGTGGACAAATGTTATGGGTTCGCATGACATTGGTTCAGCGAATGCGAACGGTGACAGGCTGCTCTCACTGTGTGTCACTCACGACCTGACGATCACGAATACTCGGTTTGCACTGAGTGCAGAATATAGCAACTTGGACACACACAGAGTGGTCACGCTCACCTGCTCGACTATGTCATCGTACGTCAGCGTGATTTGCGTGAAGTGCGCATTACGCGTGTATTGCGTAGAGCTGAGTGTGGCACTGATCACAAATTGGTGCGGACCAAACTGCACATAAATTTTCGTAAATCTCTGCATTGCACTCTCGTCGTGAACTGGCGTAAATTTAACATTCTCTCCCTCGGTACTGTGGCGAAAAGTATTGAGCTGGAGAAGGTGATGACTGCACGCCTAAGTGATGTGGAAGGCATGTGGATGGGAGCCACGTTTCATCAACGGAGCCGGCACACCCTCCTTCTCAAGCAAACACAAGCACGCGATATTTGGGAATCAAGCGCACACAAGGCGGTGGCTGGACCGTAGTCCGCTCCACACTGAATGCATGGAACCGCTCTTCGAGCATAGCACGGCCACAACGACCGTGCACACCGTCCCCTGCAGCAACGACCAACTGTCTCCTAGAGTCAGTATGGACGATGTAGTGGGTAATAAACAGGTAGGCACCTTGTCAATAATCACATCAAGCGCAGCCACACCGGGGATATCAAGCAGCAGCCAATCACTCGAAACGACAAGATGAAATAAAACAAATCCAATAATGCATACAGATACGGTGGCATAACACTTCGCTAAATTAGCATATGAAATAAGTTGGTTAGCAACGAATAAGCAATAAGGAAAAAATGTCAACAATTTGCTTGAAAGTGCTACAAACCCAACGAAGTTACCGAAGCGCAATTAGCGTAAGCAACTTGGCCAGTTAATAGAAGATTTTTCAGGTAAGCAGAACAAACCAAATAAAGTGGAATGAAATTTAGACAGCTTAAAAAGACCCAGTTTACGTGTAAATTGGTTTAGTCCAACTGTGGTGAAGAAGCAGCAAGAATGCAACATCAGTCTCAGCATGGGGCGTATATGTAAATATAAATACATATATTATCTGGTTACAGACAATGTGTCATCAGAACCATGGCAAAGGAAAATGGCAAAAAATGTAGCAGTTCTGGTATTCCGTATAATTTTACTTTTGAGATCTTATGCCTTCACTAAGATAAACATATGGATGTTGCGGCAGAGCAACGCTTTCCTCAACTCATGTCTGTTGCGGTCCATAACATTCAGTTTTCAACCACGGGGAGTCAGAGTCTCGTGGTCCCCATCCTGTAAGGCGGAGCGATCCCACTGATGCCAAGATTGAGTTTGGCTTCTTCAAGCCCCTTCTCCGCATCATTGATTGTCTACCGCAACACTTTGAAAATCGTTTCCTTGAGGCGCAAATAGCGCTCGACGGGGAAGGCGATAGGCTGGCATGTGTAATACGTGGCCGAGCCAACGCATGCGGCGTCGGAGGAAAACATTTTGTAGACAGGGGTTATTTGCTCCAAGAGCTTGGTCTCAGACTTCTGTGCTGCTTGCTTGATGCTGCTATTGGTTGGCGGCATCCGGTTTCGGATTTGCCTGTCACTGTGGTCAGCCACAGGACGCCTGCGCCTACAGAGGGACCATGGATGGCTTGCGCTGCACCACCCACATCTCGATCCACACATCCCATATCCAGTGTAAACCCGAAGGAATAAGACGCGTAACAGCCGACCAAGACGACTGTCGAAAACTGACAGTCGCTCCATGTCTTCCGAACGAATACGCTAGATCTCACAGACGTACAAGAGGACCGCACGGACGGGGGTATTCTACATTCTGCCCTTGAGCTTGAGACTTATATCGTGACAACACCATGAGCGTTTGAGCTTGATTACAATGATATGAAGAAGTAATATGAGGGTGAGACTTAAATGCGGCAGGCAAACACTCACGATCGAGGCACATACACCATGCCATTAACACGCTCCCAAATGGCTGGTCCCAACAAAATACTATGCGATTTTCGCCACTCCGCGTCGCCACCGACCTCAAATCATGGATCACCCAGCGGCGAGAACATTATAAACAAGGAACACAATGAACTAGAGAAGGATAGCGGACGTGCCGTTGATACTGACCGCAAAGCATGCCTTTTAGTCACGAGTTAAGCACAAAGTAGACATTAGACGGGAAGACGAGACCGACAAACAGTACACAGGTTCCATAATAATAATGTCAGCTGTACGCCGTAACGGCGCTTTGCTGCCGCGAAACCACTACCAGTCGCGCGCTGGCTGAGTATACCGCGAGGACGCCCAATCCTACGCGGATTCGAACCGGTGACCTTATGGTTGCAAAGCAAACGTGCAAACCACCCGGCCACCGGCCGACACAGGTTCTATGGCAGTGAATTCGTTATCTTCTCCCAGATCAACTTTGCTCCCATGGCGCTTCATGCCGCTCTCATTGGCAGAAAGATAGCGACACGTGACTAGGCCACTTCACATCAATAAACTACTACTTGTTCTTCTAAAGACCTACGCCACGCATCACATACCTGGCTAGGTCGTCGCTGTGGTCATAGCAGCGTCACCAGACCCCTTTAGTACTCTGCATCGACGATGACAAAATGCTGATGGGCATAAACACATCCGTGACTGTTTTGGGTGTATCAAATGGCGCATTTGACTCACTTTGAGGGAAAGATGAGTGCATACACACGGCGCGGTATCCGGTATGATCCTGCTGAACGTTCGGATCTCTGGAAAACCATGATGTGGCAATCGGTTGCTGGATGAGTGGAACATTTGGATCTATTGTCGTCCAACCGTGCTCGTCAGTGTAAAGATGGATTTGCACAGGTGACTGGGGCGGATTTGGAGGTGTTGCGCGGTCAGAGTGTTCGGACATTTACGTTCTAGAATGCGGCCAGTGCCGAACACCAACCGATTAACTGACTCCATGAGGAGCAATTGATCTTCCATGCACTACTGCTCCGAGTTTAAATCGTGTCCTAAAATATCACGTGACCACAGAGATTCACGTGTCTTCGACAGGGACGAAATCGCCATATCTCGACAGCATCATGCGAAAAAATTGCCTAGTGGGGGCACAAAACATACGGCTAAGTAGTACGATGGATTATATTGAATCTTTCACGCATGAACATGCCTATTCTGCATGGTGAGACAATCGAGTTTTTGGGAGTATCTCTTATTCAAGATGTGGCTGATGCTAAGTTGCTCTCAGATTGGTGTGATCTATTCCCAGACGCTCCGATGACAAACTGGGTGACATCAACTCTCGCCTCATTGCGGCACTATCTGGAGTTCTTACAAGAGAACTATGGAAACGACTGAAATGATTACCAGAGTAACAGAACGATTAGTCATGTCGATAGATTTCCTTGTGGAACTCGATAGGATAACAGCAGAAAAAGATAAGATAGTGGCTTCTTACAGTATAATCGCACCATGCACATCATATGATAACAATCTGGTGAAATTAACAACAGCGATAATAAACAAACACCGCTGTTCGCTTGATACGAACAATAAAATGGAGTCGCAGGATTTCTGAGTTGTGACAGATTTTAGTTTCAAAATTTAATCATACAAGCAGATACAAGGCGCACCAACAGGATCGTTGAATGCTGAATTAGCGTCAGAGTCGGTGCTGCATACGCAGGGATCGAAGCTACCCCGGACTATGGATATGTTAAATGTAAGACCCCTTTGTCATCCTAAAGCGTTCCAAAGACATCAAGTAATCAACATTTTCACCACACCAATTCAATAACAAGAGAATAACTGCGGCCAGTTATCATTCGCGGATGTTTTCGTGACAGTACATTATGATCCGACTACCGCGACGTGCGTTGTTTATGTACCGGGGCTGTGGATGGAAGAAGAGGAGGAAAAGCCAAGAGATGACTTGATCAGGAAGAATAAAATCCCTCACTTCGAAGTTGGTGTCCTCCGACTGCCCGGCTAGAGTCCGAAGGACGATGAACACGTTTGGCTGGATACACTAATTGGCATGGCAAGGAGCTGACCACAATGGCGTTCGTGTTGTGAGTTTCTTTGTCTCATCCCATCCTGCTTACCTTACATCTCCAATCAGGACCTCTATCTTTACGCATACTAAGTTACTAAATAGTGGTTTTGCATGCCATAATGCTCAGTATCTTACATTTTCCTATATCCTATTCTTATGTATTGTGGCACAGTAGTTGAAGTGTTTCACAGCTTCAGTTAATGTGCATTGACGATGATGATAATACGTCATCGGAAATGACAGTGTATCGAAAACCGATGCTCCTGGATCAAGCTCTAGACTACTGCGACACCCTATACGGCTATTCACCAGGGTAACTGCGCGAGACCTGTTTTCCAACGACATAGAACTCATCGCAGCATGCTACAGATGAGAAAGGAGGAGAACGACTTTCTGTCCAACGGATTCAAGTGGGTTTAGTACCATTCATTCTGCGTTTTCTGACGTCAGAAAGAGCTGTATAGCCCATATCCACAGCTACAATGGGTAAGATGATCGACTACAATATGAAGTTCTCGAAAAATTGAAATAGTGGCGAAGCTTACACTACCAAGTGGCAGTGTAGCGAACAAACTGACAGCAAAGAAATAGTAATCCTGAGAACATAGTCGGTATAAGCCGGAAACATTCATTGACTCTCGGTTGGCTTCCATTTTCGAGTAATTCCCAAACTAGCTCCTAGATCCGGTGGTAGAGTAGCTCGATCGAGGCGATAGTTTTCAGCCTTCGAGCGAAGAGCCCACAGGCTAGGAAACACAAGGTAGACGCACGCAGCAGACTGGAGCAACAAAGCAGAAGAAAAGTAAGAAGTGTATCGGTTAAGTTGACCAAAATAAACGGTACAATAAATGAGAAGTATAGCTGCAAAAATGAAATGTACAAGTGCTACATCACTAATGTTGTCAGGAAAATCAAGAGAAAAGATTCAGGAAACGTAGTTAAGGAATAATACCAAACGCATTATGTAGTCCAACCACCGCCCCCTGGCTCAGTGATTTAAGCTGCATGTTAGTTGGCGTCAGTCTCTAGCGGTCATGGGTTCGATCCCCAGTAGGGGATCGATGGAATGCGCAACCCTGACCAGTCCCAGTATGGCGAAAGATGTCCGGTGCTTTCCGGATTGTGGTCGTGCTATGTAGCTTGTGAGCTGCTGGGACTAACACACCTTACAAACAGCAACAGGCATAAGGTTACATAATAAAGTTTTATGACGAGTAAAATGCTTACCTTAAAAAAGCTCCCAATCAAAGCTTTAGGCTTAAGTCTGTCCGTAACATAGCGGGGAGACTGCAGTGAATAGGTTAGCAGAAATTGATTTCACACCTTTTGCAACCCACAGCTGACCTCTAGCCACTGACCAGTCTGGTAGAGACAACCCCCAACAGGACAGAGCACACCTTGCAGCAGAGCTCAGTGGATTGAAGAAGTACGCGAACCGACACACCACGTTAAGGGCAACTCTAGTCACGATGTGTGTCAACGCAGATAAAGGATATTACGAGCAATCCTCAAAAAGTCCGATGATGCTCCTTCCAGCACTGTGTCCAGCAACAACTCCATGGTTTTTTTCACATTCGTTAAATATCGATGAGAATGTTTCGGAACTGCTTGGTATGGGTCCTTTCGAAGCTCCCGTTATGTGATTGGATTGCGACGCGCAAGCTCCATGTGGACCGCGATTCCCATTAAAGTAAACCTAGGTCGAAATTCATTCATCCAACGAGTGCTTCAAAATGGTCCTCCGATCAGTCTTTAATTGTTGTGTTAAGCGTTGAGTGTCTGTGGCTAAAGGAGTGCAAGTACCAGCTTACATCCCAATCACACCAGATTCATCATCATCATCATCATTACACGTTAGCTGGAGGTGGAAAACACCTCAGCTATTGTGCCGCAATACAAAAGACAAGAAAAGGAAAACAGTGGCACGCCCGATGAGTCCCCAGTAACGGATGGACATCGTTCCGGAGAGCTAACAGCTGGCTGCCGTAAAATAAAGTCATATTATGCCTAACAAGTGAGATCGTGATTGGATGGGGATGCTAAACAGGAGGGGGATGGACAAAGGAAATCACAACACAAACGCCATTGGGGCCGGCTCCAAGCCATATCAGCAAGTGTGTCCAACCAAACGTGTTCACCGTCCTTAGGACCCCAACCAGGCAGTCGGGATGCACCAACCGACGCCAACTTCGAAGTGGGGGTTTCCATTTCTATCGACCAAGTCATCACTTGGCCTCCCCTCCTCCTCTTCCAACCGCACCCACAACGCGCAAACAATGCACGACGCGGGAGTCGGTGTGCTGGCATGCGCAACACGTGGCCCATCCATCGGAGCCTGGTGCGTGATATAATGGTGCTGAGCGGTTCACTCACTCTTCCTGCACCAAATACGCGACGTCGAACACGCTCATCGCTCACGCGGTGCTCCCACCAGACATGAGCTAAGCTGCGAAGGCAGCGATGATCGAATATGACGATTCGAGGCCATATGCACGTCTGAGGAGAACAAGTAAGGTCGAAACGTGTCGTGGAGTACCGTATTTTCTGGCGAACACCCAATATCCATCCATTTCGAAAGCTCGTAATGCAAATACTTGCAGGCACGTAGATCGACGCATTAAATTATCTCAAAATGCAATGAAGACGTCTAGTGTCCCGTTAACTTGCAAAGACCAATTGGACAGCTCCTCGCAATGTTGAAAATGTGCACTGGTGACTGTTATAACTCTCTTGGTTGCGCCACGGTCTGACGACCTGGTATGAAATCTCCGAGTCGGCTGAACAAATGTGGCTTGGAACTACTTCACGCACGACAAAGTAACCGACAAAATTCGAAGTTGTACGATCCGTGAGACTTAGGCGCAACACGGTTACTAGCGCGAGTTGAACGGGCTCCTAAACCGAACGCAATTTCACACGCAGCTAGCCAAGCCCCCAGAGACAAAAGACAGGCCTTGCGCATAGGCACTTTTACAGGCCAAGCTCAAGGCGATTACAGCGCAGTCTAGCGCCAATGATTTGCGTAAGCAAACCCTGGAAGAATCTGAATTGGTATTATGCAAATATGCCAACAGAACATGTTGAAAGCGAATGTTGGTATATGCGGAGGCTGGACTGGAAACTGAATGTTTCTTTGGTAAAATAGGCTGAATGTTTTATGATTTAAGGGAGATTAGCCGTTTTCTGAGGTACAAAGGCGAATCGAAACGTGAATGTCTCACGAGTTGGAAGGCTGATGGAAACATGCGCATTTGTCTGAATCAGTCTCATTGCCTTCCGTGGTTTAAGCTTATGATCATTATGGGGACCTTGGGTACCCATAACAATGCCAATGCACGAGAAAGTACGAAAGCCAAGAAACCTATGAGGTTCGACAGTTGACCAATCAGAGCTGTTCTAGAACGATGCAAGCAGGTAAACCACGAAGGGATGTTACATTGTATGAGTGCGCACTCAATCACAAACGAAAACAAAAGTACAGAAGTGGGTTAAACTGACGCCGCAATTCAACCGTATGGTGATTGTATGCCGGTTGGAACACTACCACAATATCGAAGCAGGGGAAGAAACAGAGGCTCGAGTTGGTTGTAAATCAGACACGGGAAAGCTTATATATTTTTGCAACAGTCTATGAATAGACATTGCACCATCGGAAACCATGGAACTCAAAACAAGGTACAGAAATAGTAAAAGAAAACACAACACAACACAACAATGTCCACGGTTTCGTCAGAGGGCGAAATACTACCCGGTTGCCCAAGCCGAAGTAGGGTGTTGACTTAGGGGACACCACCCCGAGCCTTTGGCTGAATAGCCTGTCCGCAAGGCAGCGGAGCGAATTCAGGGAATCGCGCCCATTGGGAGCCGGTGACTGATTGATCAGTTCATACGCCTTTCGTTTGTTCTTTTGCCAAACAG